GAAAGTCACACTGAAACAGGGCTTTCTCCAATTTCTTCGGTTTTCCTTACTAACCACCATTCAACCATTGCTCCATAATCACCCATCACAGACCCCTGAGGTGCATGATGGCCCTGACCAGGTAGTACATGATCACATTCTTGAGCTTGAACTCAGAGCTTCATCTCTGACTGAGCATGTGACTCCTTATACAGCAAGGTAGACAGTTTATATATACTGTGCTGTATTACGCAACAATGGTTTGTAAACCAACAATATCTTATGATTCATTCAGCTACTGTATCAGCCTTTATATGGAGCCAAATAATAAGACAGTTCATAATCTGTGAAAGCATTATACAAGTATACAAGCACTGGTTGTGTAACATGGTACAATACATGTTACTCTCATTTATCTGCAGTTTTATTTCAGTCATGACATCCTAACCACAGCCTTGGTAGAAGTGGCTGCATATGGCCAGCTTCCTTGACCTGTCCCACCATTTTGACTCTGTCATACTGTTTCCTGCCCTACCACTCTGCTCAGTGTTTCCCGATTTACATCCATCCCATTTCCCCCAAACAGAAAATCATACAAAACAATGGTAAAGACAAAAGGCGGTCCATTCGGAGAGACAACACTGCGAAAACAGCAACTTCTGCTGTTACATGTATGGGTTTAAGTCCAAGTCAATTTCTTTCCTTGTGGTGATTTTCAGGAATGCAGCCCCACACACAAGAGTCACCTGTATACATTCACAAAACATACAACACTCAGATCAGATACAATATGCCTGAATTCCATCGGGTGAACATTTTGAATTGCATTTTCTGAGAAAGAAGCTCTTAACTGCCATTTCTAGGGTCAATGTACATGTACACATCAAAATATTATGAAATCCATTATCATACAAGGTACTGTAATGACTGAAACAGGATGTTGATTCATATTCCTGTTAACCCTCTGAAGACAACAAAGGTATATTAGTTTACAATTATTACACCCAAAAACTAGAAATATTAACAGAAACAAAACATTAAATCGAGACACATTAATTTTTGAGTTTCAGGTAAGAATCAATGCGGACTTTTACGTTGTGAGTGCTAACAATGAGATCACAAAGTCATAAATCAACTGAAGGTAAAACAAAAGCTACCATAGTTCCAAGCAGAATAACTTGCATAAAGCACAGAAGCTATCACGAGAAGTCATCGTTGCTTTATCACAGGCTGTTCTAGCATCTGGACCACAAAAAGAAAAAAGGTGAAGTCACTAAATACGGGCTAAAAGATAGGCAGTATTAAACTACACATCTCATTATCACCACCAAAGATGATCTAAATTTCTTAACAATAATAATTTCATAACAAGAAAACAAAGAGTTGACTGAATTTGTTTTCCATTTTGTGTTTCAGATTTTAAGATTTGTCCCAAATTTCCATATGGGAAATTTTATGTTCCACATTTTACAGTTTCCACAAAATCAGTAACCTGAATTTCCACAACACGGCATGGGTACTATACTACACTACAATCCAATGTCAGCACAACAGACCCATTCTGCCATAATCAAATGACAGTATACATATAAATGAACACTTTACACTCCAGAATGTTTCAGCAAAAAATTAAACCATGTACAGAATTTTTATGACACAGCCTAGACATGGCATATTTCCATGATTTATGCAAGACCATGCCACATGATTTGTTGAGAGCGCACAAACCAGGTCTGAATATAAACTGCAAGATGAATACAAAAAATCGTTCTCATTTCCACGTCGTCATAAGCGGCTAAAGGTTGCGCAAAATACAACAGATCTTCCAAAACATTTATGAAAAGTGATATCATCCTCTAAAACTTCCACCTCACTTAAAAATATTCAGTAGGATATAACATTTACAACCTCTATACTTTGCATCAAAATAATGCCCATTTTCCTAGACAGTTTGCTGGAGCTTGTGCTTGTCTTACTGCAGCTCATCTCTGCACAGTACTTTCCATTTTCCAAGCAAACAGTTTACATACATTGACTTAACACTACATTAACAAAATAATAACTAGCCTGGTTCAAAATTCCACTGCAGAAAAGTTATTTTTTACCCATTTTACTTCAGTTTTAACAGGAAAAAGCTACATTGACATTCATATCATTCTTCATTATTTGGAAAATTCCACTAATTCTATGCAAAGTATAGCTTGTATTATATTCAGTTTTTTCGTGCATCATCATCCTGGTGAGTGGGCCATTCTGTTCAGCAAACACATTCCCACAAACGGTTTCAGACTGTCTAAAAACACAGTGAGTTTAATTGTGCCAAAATATATATATATACACATAAAACTCTTAAATTCCTATAATAAAAGAGCGGTACTAATTCACATGACTAAGCATTAGGTCTACAAGAACTGTTTCCCCATTCTTAAAATAATTCTGATCATTCCAGCAGGAGCCTGAATTTCCTTGATCTGTGTCCTCCAGGTCAGCTGCCTAATCTTGGTCCTCAGATCTGTACACAGAGCAGCCGAACATTCGTCCACCTGTACCTCCCATTATTTCTCCCAAATGAAAGACAGATGATGTTCCTCTTGGAGAAAACTGTCAATGTTGCTATAAGCATGGGTTTGAGTATAAGTCACTTTCTTTCCATCATGAGAAGATCACCAGGACCATGATGTCAATGGGTGCAAGCAGTCCTCAAACAACACGACTGATGCGTTATTGAAAAATTTTCGTAAGGCAAAATTCTGTTATTCAGACATGAATTTCCCATAAGAAATAATGTAATGGGAAAGTCATGTTAAACTGAAAAACCACTTATGTTTATCAAAGACCACCCCTATTACAAAACCCTGTTAAAACAAATTTGGGTTGACAGAACATGAGTCAGACAGGGACTGGTCATACATAACTCTCATATATTTTATATTAACCATGATAATGAAACATGTTTATGTTATGGTGTTATGTATTTTCAGTTTTCATTTGCTGTAAGTTAACTCAGTTGTTTGTCTACCTACACAAGTAGTTACATACAGTGAACTACAATTTTACAAAGTTCTTTACATTGTCTGCCCCATAAGAACTGTGTTCTGAAGATCACAAAGCAGCACCTGTGTGAGTTCAAGGACCTACAGACACTGAATGTAACAGCAGAACAGTTTCTTATATTCCAGCCCAGACTATTGTGCAAAGACACTTCAGTCTTAACTTTTCTTGTTACTGAGGTCAGGTACCTTTAACACAGTTGGTTTTTAGCAACTTCCAGTTGAAATGTCAAGGAGCACTATGCTAGCACAAAAGAAAATGCAGCTCTCTGTCTACTTCTGTCATTCCCAAGCTTGTGGGAACTGTTCAGCAATAACACAGAAAAACAATTGCAACAATCTTTTATCACCCCTTCAAGGATCTTTATGACAATGATTTTACTGCAATCTTAAGTATGGGGAACTGCTGATCCAGTCTCTGAACCCAAACAAAATGCTTAACGCAGTTTCATTCCAGTACAAGCAGAATATATATATATATGGACCAGTTACTGCTTCCTGTTATGAATGGTTACCATCATTCAGAACTGCATCTTGCTACAAAAGAATGACAAATGAGATACCAAAGTTCTTCTTCTTTATGTGCAGTAAAACCTGTTGTTGTGCCCCAGGTTATTAATGGGTATGATTTTATTTAACAAGGGATAAATTTTCTGTTTAATTTATTAGAAAATAATTATAAGTTTTATAAATTGAAATATGTTAGGTGAACCACAGGTTGGCCAGCTGGAAACCAGAGTTCAGATCACCTGCTGACATAGCACATTTCTCAGGCATCTGGTTTCAGTTGTATAGTTTATAGAAATTGCTGACAAATCAGGTGAACGACACAGAAGCAAGTCTCGCTTTTGCAGGGTAGGTTATCGGCCAGGAAGAATCTGCCGATTTTAGGATTTTGGGTGCACAGAATTAGGAGTTGCTTGGAGCAGTTGACCCTAAAAAATCGTGTGGTAGGAAGGAGACGTGACGGAATCAGACGTCTTTCTCTTTTGTAACCATGAGTAATTGCCTGTGTTCGGATCACTGATGGTTGTTAATACATAATTTCTGGTTCAATGATTTTGGTTTGGTAATGAATTCTTAGGATAAAATTGGTTAAATGGTCTTAGCATATAAACTTTGAATTGTAAAAGATTAATTTTGATTTATTGAGTGATTATGGGAATGTACAAATTTTGATTTATTAAGTGATGATTAAGATGCAAGAATCTTGTTTGGTAATTAAGTTTAGAATGTAACATTTGATTCTCTAGTCGCTTGTTGAAAATGCCTCCTTTGACTCGCTGACTGTGTGTAACGACAGAGAATATGATTTATTGGTGTTAAGGGATGAAATGTGGGTCATTACTCGATGGTTAGCATATGAACTTTGGGTCACTGTTAAGATATAAATTTTGGTCAGCGCATGATGGTTAGAATATGAATTTGGTTCACTATTGTTATATCATAACTTCGGTCCACTGATTATTTGTTAATATGTAATTTCTGGTTCAATAACAGTTAGGATATGAATTTGGGTATTCATGGTTTGTTAGGATAAAATTTGGGTAATGAATTGCTAAGTGTAAATTTTATTCCACTGATCAATTATTAGAATATACTAATTTTCCTTTATGGACTGATGGCTAAGATATAAACATTTGGTTCAGTAATTAAGTGTTAGGATGTAACATTTGGTTTCCTAATGGCTTGATGAAACATAAAGGTTGGTCACATGATCGTTAGTTTATGAACTTTGGTGGCAGAGTATAAAATCTGATCCGCTGATTGATTGTTAGCATGTAATACTTGATTTTCTAAATGTCTGTTAGAAGATATAAGGTCTGACTTATAAACCGAACATTAGGATACACGTGATTGTTCGGGGATATAAGGTAATTGGGTTTGAGTGTTGGAATAGGAATTTTGGTTTGTACCATGTAAGTCTAACCGATTTTACGAGGTACTCGTAATGAGTGAATTAGAATACTGTGTAAATTTTATGCTTGTATATATGTACTTGTTGATTTTATTATGTTTGTTCTTGTTTTCACATGCGGAGTGCTTATTGGGGTATTTGTAATAGTTACGTCATTGCCGGAGTAGGAGCTATCCACAGATGTTTAAATAGTGCCAAACAGGTGGGATATTCTAAATTTTGATGGTGGCCGCATGGGACATAATAAGAATTTGGGTGTCACAAACGTGTGCCACAACAAAATTGGTGACAGCGTTGGGATAAGAACAAGAAATTTGGATGCCTAACCCCCGCATTCGTAGTAATAAATTGGTCATAAGGCATGCGGAACAATAACCTGGTGGCAGCAGTAAGATACAATAAGAATTTCTGAGTCACAATCTTTGTGACAAAACACTGTGAATCCAGCTGTTACCACGTGTCTTAATCTGCTGAACTGTTACTGAACTGGCAAGTATATAGGATTTCCTTTAGACCTGTCTTTTCATAATATATTTGATCAACTGCTCTTAGCCAGACGTCACTATAAATTAAGTGATGTTTGTACTTCCCAAGCACAGTCCAGACACATGTCTACTCATGTCTTCATATAATGACATTCTTTCTCCAAGAATCCATGCACTATGCTGTTATGTACTACAAAATTAAAAATGTTCACAAAAACAAACTCTGAGCTCAAAATGAAACAAAATAAATGGGTTAAACATGAGCACAAAAAAAATGGTTTTGGAGCTGAGAGCCAAAACTGTTTACCAGCAAATGCCCAAAGCTTTGTGGCAAAATCAGCAGCTGGAACCATTAATACAAACATAAACATGATTCTGAAAGCTGTAATGGAGAGCTGAAGCAGCAAAATGAAATATAAAAGCTACATAAAACAAAGAATGAAACTGTTAATATCCTCCTCCTGACGTTTCCAGAGATGCTGCATAGTGAACATTCCAATTTCTGATGCAGAAGGATGTAGTCCCTACAAAAACAAAAATGCTAAATTCTAAAATTTATTAAGCTGTAAGATGGCTACATCTGAGTGGAAGCATACATGGCCAACATAGACAAGTTTCAATGTATCAGGCTAAAGAACCTGTTCCATCTCCAAATGATTCTCAAACTTTTCCTTGGTTTTCCCAATTCCCTTCTTCCATGGTTTAGTATTGTTACTAACCCTGTAGTTCTACTGTCCACCGTACATCCTACGTGTGTGTGTGTGTGTGACATTGCTCGCTCTCTCTCTCTCTCTCTCCTTGTCACTTTGTTCGTAATTTTAACTTCTAGTTAGGTTCTAACGTCAACAATTCTTTATCTTATCCTATAGTGTCATTCCAGCCACTGATCTCAAAAATTCCATTTGCTTTTATAATATTCCCTTAGCTCCAAAATCTCACATCCACAAATATAGTGGGAGGGTCACTGTTTCATAAAAGTTACGTTATAAATGTGGTATCAATATCCCCCCTCCCCCGTTTAAGAACTGAAAGTGGGAATGCGTCTGCCGAACAGGATGGCCCAGCCCTGCATATGACTAGCCTGCAGAGACCATTAAGTGGCATGCAAGCTTATGTTATTATGTTCCATACAGGCCGTTGCAACATGAGCATTCATTCAGCCACGGGATTAGTTCCACTCTTGCAGGCAGGTGGGCTCCCTTACTTGAATATAAGACATCTGTTAATACAGACATATACCAAGAACATACTTTTAGCTGGAAATTAATTTTTCTACAAGACACATCACACATAAATAAATATTATACCTCTATTCAAGTAGCAGATGGATACCACCAGATAAACTGCCAAATCTGTCCTTAATTTGAACGCTTGGCCTTAAAACAGAACACCCTGGAAGTGTCTTGCTTTGGATAAAGTAAGTCCAAAGTTCAAATTAACTGTAACATACTCCCTCCTCCCGGGTGAAAGCTGTCATGCTGCCGCCACCTGCTCAGTATGCATGTTCACTTCTTGGTCATAATTTTCAGATACTCGAGCGCATTCTGCGCTGCGCTTGCTTGAGCTTCCTTTGAAGAGTTACCACTGCCATAGCACACCGCGACAGGTAGCGTGGACAGCTGCACCAAACACTGCCACTTTCCTGTGGAACAAAACAGGTCACAGCTTAACCTTTCACTGCAGCACACTCACTCACCGATTCACGATGTTTAACAACACTGGCGGTAGCTCTTACTGTACAGAAACAAATGGCAGGCTGATAACAGTGATCATGGTCTTACTGGAGGTATTGTATTTGCCTAGAGGGATTGAGAAAAGTCATAAAAACCTGTAAGTAGAGCCGTTCCTTCTGCTTGTACATATATCTGAACTATTACAATTGGATGGTATCTGTAGGAGCTTATCTGGCAAAATGAAAGGAATCTTTAGCTGATAAATCAAAACACATCTCTAGCTGACAGGACAAAAAGTGTACCTGCATGAAGTAAATAAAAGGCGTAACTACCTGATACAATAAAAGGTATCTGTAACTGATATAACAATTGAGTTTACAAAATTACAGAAGCTCATGCACATCAAGACACATATTTAAGTGGCTGATCCTCAACTGCTGGTCCCAGCAGAATTACCTGTGATAGATTTCTCTTCTATATCCACATATGTAACCTCAAATTGTTGCTCAGATGCAATCTCCTGCAGAAACTGAACAAAGTTAAAGCTGCTGTTGTTAAGAGAAGTGCTCTGCAGACAAACAGACAAACAAACTTTACTAAACTCTGTTTGTCTCTTTCTTGGCTTATATAATGGAACACAAAAGCCATGTAAATCAAAACTGCAGAGAATAAAAATCAATGCAAAGTTACTGCACATCGCTCACTCATGGAGCTGAGCCCTTCTTGAGAAGCTGCAAATTGTGCAGCTACTCAAGAACTTCCTAGCATTGTATGGAACCCGAAGGTTCAGTACTGTTATTTCATATACTTTCCCATAAAATGACTGAACCTAACTACATAATACCAAACAACAACGAAATCCAGAGAAACACATAACCTCAGTCTTCAGGATCAAAGAATAAGCCAAGAAATAAACCAGAAAGAAGCAAGCACCAAGCAGAGCTGGTTCCATTGGCTTACTCTTCAACACTGAAGATGGAAGCTATTATGTTCCTCCTAAATGTCAACTGACATTTACCAGACCACATGGCATTACATCCCAGAAGAGAGAAGTCTTCATAATCACTGCTGTAAGAACCTCAAGTCCAACAGAGACATTCATCTGACCAATAAAGGCAGTTTCAAAAAGAACTTACATTTCATGTTAGGGTTGCTAGTGTATCTACAGTTATTTTGCTGAAAACATCATCCTTGCAGTTTCCTTTAGGAAGACGGTCTCCATAAATTGCAGGAAGTTAATCAAAACTGCTGTAGCCATTTTCAAGACAACTGCTATTGTCTTTTATAGCCCATCTAAAAAGGCCCTTATTTTTGGGACTACTGAGCTTTGGAACTCCTTTCACCATCCAGTATTCTAGAGAACACTAAAGAACACATTTCAGAAACTTGATCTGCTTCTGTTCTAAGGCAAGCGTGTGGCAGGTGACACCTACTTTGTTGATTCGGTTAGAAAGACCTAGCCTCAATCACTGGACCTGCCTCTTTCTTACAGACCTAACAGAGCAGGTGTCTGCCATGCCCTTATCTGATGATGGAAACAGATCCACTTTCCAAAACCCTGTGTTCTATAGTGTTCCTTAGAATACCAGATGATTGACAAAGCCCAAAAACCCAGTAATCTTAAGTGATATACAACACCATCAGAACCCTTTAAAATTTACCATATTTTTAGAGTAAGAACGTTCATATACACCAGGCACAAACCTGTAATAGACAAAATACTTGAACACCAAATATGAATAAAATTCATTTAACCATTCTGGTGTTTGTGAGGTACACATCCAGACATACACAGACATAGAAAACATTCCAGAAACCACTTTTCATATTCAGAGAAACTCTAAACACAGAAATCTGCCAAAATCTTGAGACTGGTTTTCTTCATGATCCCAATACTGTCTCATATATACTGCATATGAAAGCAAAAAGCATTCAATGTGTCGTCCTTCCTTTTCATTTTAAATGCTGTCAGTTCAACGTGGTAACGTAGTTGGTTGAGGGGCTATGCTACAAGCCCAAAGGTCATGGGTTCAAGTCCTGATGAGGACATTGGATTTTCTTCAATTGACCCACTCCTTCCAGCCGCACTATGGCCCTGGGGTTCACTCAGCCTCTAACAGAAATGAGTACCAGGAATTAATTAAATAATTTTCCTGTGGAGTAAAGTGCAGCCGGCGCATAAGGCTGACAACCTTACCGCCATCTTTGAGCCGAATGTCTAAATAATGTGGGACCTCAACATCTCACAGCCCTATGGGCCTTCATGGCCTGGTACAGGGATGGCTTTACTTTTTACAGTTCAAATGAATAAGCAGTACTGAAAATAGGGATCTGAAGTCCTTGTGGCAGAGACTATCATGCAATAGGCAGTTACCATTATTCTGGAGGAAGCTGCCGCCTCCATCTTCGGGGTAAGCTAACAATGGAGGCAACAGGTTCCTCTGAGATGCTGGCAATTATTAGGGTTATTCAAATTAAATCTCTTCACAGCATCACTATCAAATATGGAGAGTCATAGGTGAGCATATGGCCGTGCAAGTGATGCATAAGCAATCAATAATGAACTGTGTGACACCATGGATGATGCATCACAGTGAATTGGAACAGGGTGATATGCCTAAACAGTGGTGTTCCATGTGCAGAATCTATCGAAACAGGCCCAAGAACTGCCACTCAGTTCCTTTCAGGATCTCACTATCACAATTAACACATCACCATTGCAGAACCCTTTAAGACCTTCACATTGCTATCAACAGAGAATGTCCTAGCAAGTTCGTGGATGGCATCACAGTGTTGCATGACAATGTCCATACTTATGTAGCCCTAAGAACACAATGAACTCCATGTGCAGGAAGATGGTGGGCCATCCCCACACAACCTGGAGCTGTTGCTGTGACTTCCCTGTGTTTGGTCCCCTCATGAAAGCACTAAGGGCTACAGATTAAGGTCAAACAAAGACGTAAAAACCACAATGATGCAGTAGTGGCAAAAGCAGCCCAGGGAGTTCTTTTGTGGGGGTGGGGGGATCCATCAGCTGCTGCATCAATGGGATGCCTGCCCCAACATCCATGGAAACTCTGCCCCTTCACATAAAACAAGCCCTGAAAGGGTTTCAATTGAACAAGCCTCACCATATTCAACACACCATTATCTTTTCTTTTTGTGCTGAATTTCTTAATTTAAATAAATTCTAAGTACTGAGATCCTCACAGCAGTGATCATAAAGATTATTGTCTTATATGACACCATGCAGTCTGGCAGAAACTTTCAGATGTAATTGCTGAGTCCACCTGCAGCCTACCTTGAAGATGGAGGCAGCAGGTACCTAATGAGACTAGTAACTACCTACCAGACTACATGGTGTCACAATGAAGATGACAGTTGAAGAAAGCAGTCTTCTGGGATTTGGCACCATGTATATGTGATGTTAACCGACGTTTCGGAGGAACGTATCACCTCCATCTTCAGGGTAGAAGAAAAAATAGACTGCAGACAGTCTGCTTTTACCGGTTCTCACGGTCTCTTCGCTTGCAGATTTCTTATATTTTTTTTCTACCCTGAAGATGAAGGCAATACGTTCCTCTGAAACATCGGTTAACACCACATGTACACGGTGCCAAATCCCAGAAGACTGCTTTCTTCATAGTCACTGCCATGAAAGCCTCAAATCTTACAAGATGACAGTTATCTCCACTATCTACATCATACATCTTGTGTTGCAAAAATATTTCAACTTTCCACCAATGTATCACAAGGAAGAAAGACAAAGTTAGTGATGTTCATGATGCGCTAAGCACAGGTGAATGAGTACATCAGGCTGCACTCATAGAAAAATCAGTAAAGAAGATTCAGGGCACTGGCTATTCTGGCTGATGTTTTCATGGTTTTCCTCAGTCCATCCAGACAAACCTGCCAGGGCAGTACCTTCACATTGCTCTCAATTCAACAATCATCCAATCATATGACACTACATCATCCAGATAATGATGGTGTCAGGAAATAACCCACCAAAAACAAAAACAAGACCGATAGTTTAAAATGAGTTTATTGTCAACAATACTTAATTATTGTTTTTTAATAATGATATATACTGTAAATGGGGGCATGTGGTAGCGTAGTTTGTTGAGGCACTATCCTACAAGTTGGAAGATCTCAGGTTCAATTCCTGATGAGGTCACTGGATTTTCAAATAGACCTAATCTTTCCAGCTGCATTGTGGCTCTGGAGTGAACTCAGCCTCTAATAGAAATGAGTACCAGGAACCTTCCTGGGGGTAAAAGGTGGCCGGCACATAAGGCTGACAACCTAACCAACATCTGTGAGCCGACTGTCTAGAAAATGTGGGAGCCTCAGTGTCTCACAACCCTATTGGTCTCCATGGCCTGTTACAGGGATAGCTTCTACCTTTCTTACACACTGTAAATTATCTGCTCAGGTCATCACATCATGGGCACAGCACTTCGTTGCCACTTTTCACCATCACATTACATTAACAGTTCCATGTAGCTAATGGAACTGTTCCATCTTCTTAGTTACTACACATTCTGGCTTTTCCTCAGATAGGGCAGTGATGCTTGGTTTTTGGCTGTATCTTTGAATGCCCCTGCAACACACTTCTGCAATGCTAGTGCCTGTGGTGCCATTTTCTTTTTGCACGAATAACCCCAGCAACAGCATGCATCCCTGTATCCCCCCCAAAAAAACTCAACCCGAATGGGATAAAAACACAGAGATACAAAGAGAATTATCTTCTGAGATGTTATGCTCTGTAGCCCAGCAGAACTTTATTTTTGCCTGATAAACTGGCATCGCATCCCAGAAGGCAGTGGTCTCCATAGTCACCATTATGTGAACCTCAGATCTCGTACAGATATGGCTCTTTTACAAAGACAGAAACCCTTGCAGGACAAAGCTGTTTGGGTCTACAGTGTGTGAAAACTTTATGACCTCTATGAACTTTCAACCGAGAGGCTCTTCTTTTACTTATGGTGTGAGTGGGTAAGACCATGTAGCATCAGATGACATGCTAATCAATGAATAAAGACAGATAAGGGAGCTGATGCATAGCTCTGAACATTCTCAGCCTCGACATTATATGGAAGTGAGTGGTCAGCCTCATGCTGCTGATGCTGCCTGACCCACACGGGCTGGGTCAGCCCAGAGCTAGTCTACAGGATAGGGGGAATGCTTGCATTCAAAATCTTGGTGATGTAGTCTTGAGTCTAGTCACTCTACAGACTAAGCTATCCCTACCCCAGCTCCTACAGTAACTTGTCAGTGTGCTTAATTGAGCACCATGCCAAAGAGACATATGGGGGAAAGAAGGTATGGCTCTATCATTTTTAATCTCAACACTAGATGGAGATGAATGGCCAGCTTCATACCCCTGCCACTTTACCCCCAGGAAAGAACTCCCAGTGTTCCATACAGGATGCTGGGAGGGCCCCTGAGCTGGTCTGGGAATCTCTTGCCCCTGCCGGGTATTGAACCCAGATTCTACAGTAGTACAGTCTGTAGTCTGGTCACTACATGACTGAGCTATCCTGGCTGATAACTGCAGGTAATGAGACCACAATCCAATAGACAAGTTGCTTACCTGCAGTTCATTCAACTTAATGCCTGATGACAGCTTCAAATTCTTATGGAACTGAGACACCTTGTGACTATGGGGTGTGGTCAGAGTTGAGATTTTGCTATCTTTCAGGTCAGCATAGCGGGCAGCAACATTTGCAACACTGTGAGCAATCTACAACAAATAAAATTGTGGGATCTGAGGTCCTTATAGCAGTGAACATAAAGATGCCATCTAACAGCAATGCTAGTCCATACAGCACTATCTCCCAGAAGACTGTCAGCCTCAATAACAATATGACTTGCATTCATATTCATAGATTTCCAATGCTCATAACTATCGCACGTCCAGATCCATAAGAAAAAGATTTATATTTATCAGTGCTGATCAGACCAATCACCTGTATATGTCACGCATGACATCGTGGAACACTGAGAATTTAACAGGAAATCTCATCACTTGCTATACAAGCTTTTGCACTATTAACTTCCTCCCCATATTATCATATTCCTTTCAAGTCTGACATATTACAGAATGATACAATGAGGCAGACATTTAATGCCATCTCCCATGAATAACATGGACAAATAGTATACTCCACTTCACATATCCACATCAGAATATTATCATCACTGGAAAAAAGAGTCATCACTTGTTCATGACCCACTGCATAACTTACATTCATGCAATCTGTTAACACTTGAAATTGTGCTATGGTAACCTGAAACTGCTTAATTTCAGAGCTTCCATAGAGCACAGCATCCCCAATGATATATTGTCTAAAACTTCTTTGAGAGTACATCACACATTGAGCAGGCAGTCCTGTGTGTTCAATCAGATCCCCTGCATGGTGATTTTGATTCTCACTATATGCTGACAACTGATTCTACTAACTTTCTGATGATGATGTAACAACATATTGTCACGTGGTGGGTGTGTAACGCGACAAATAACTTCACACCTTAGTGGATATAGCGAATTTATTCCACTCTCTCTTACAATCACACAATTTACAATCTGACAATTACTTCCATCGGCAGTATCACAAATACTCCGACAAAAGATAGACAGCCATTGACTGGTTAACTGACTCACTGCCGGCTAACTCGTAACTCGTAACTGCTGCCTTGAGACCTCACTTCGGCGGCTGATACACTTTAACTGTCTTCATAGGCAGTGTAGGTCTCTTACAGACCCTCAGCCGGACAACGGGAAAATGGTTACGTAATAGGCACCACTGTTGTCTGACGCCGTGTTTGCCTGTTACGTGATGGGTACCGCTATTATTACCGTCGTCTCCACTGTTTACCCACTTTGCTTAGCAACCGGTGTTTACTCGCTTTGCATAGCGACCAGCGTGCTGGGACTCGGCTCACTTCGGCTCTGCTCGGCACGTCACGGCTGGCGAGGAGGGAGGGGCATCATCCATACCGCAACACGTCACAATATGTTATCATCAGATGACAACACACCTTCAAAGATGCTTTGTGCACACTACAATAGCAGCTCTAATTCCTGCACATACCTCATCATCTTCATCCAAACCAGGGGTGACACTTGATGCCATCACAGGGCTGTCCTGAAGCTTCTCCCACATCTTGTGGGCAGCCTGACGTTTTGCCAACTTTTTAGACTTTCCTGTGCCTGTTGATATAGTGCAAACATAACAAACAAAAATTTCTAGTAAGAACACAACACCTAACTTCCTTTAAGCTAGCATAAAATTTCCAACATCTGTAAGTTGTGTGTGATCCACATGACCAAGCACTGCATTACTATAAAGGGGGATGTGTGCAGTCCAGCTGGACAAGTAATGCATTCCTTCAAAACCAGTACCAATACATGTGAGTTAAAATCTGATTGCCAACACCACAGTACCGGGAAATTTAAACTCCCCTATTCCCAAGCCACAACTGTCACCGCCATGTTAGGTTCAGCTGCCAACACCACAGTACCGGATTTCAAATCCCCTATTCACAGACCATGAACTGCTAGCACAGAGTTAAAATCAACCCCACAGTACTGGGATCACCTATTTTCAGATCGCAACTGTTACCCCTGAGTTAAAATCAGGGTGCCAACCCAGTAGCACTGGGAAACTTAAAATCCATTATTCTTGAATAACTGTTAAACTGATAATATTCCAATGAACCACAACCCCAGTACTCAAATCTTCCAACCAACCAGTTTCTCGATGCTTGAAGACCACACAGGCAATGGTGAAAAGACGTTCATGGGGTAGCCCTTCCTCATTCACCATCTCGTAGCCTGGCGGAGGCCACCGTCGAGACATGCACATCTCCTGTAGTGTACCAATAGGATTACCTGGAATCTTGTCATCGTAGGGTGATATTATCTCTGCTTTCCTAACAAATGAAAGATCGGAAAATACACATTAAGCTGAAGTCCTGAGATTTTCCTGCTGATTGAGAGGGGACGGGTGCCTAATCACTGTATCTGGTTCTGGGATTTTAACATTTAAGGTGAATGAGGGCATCTTGAATGGTGATTTTCCATAAAATGTGATGGAAATAAAAATGATCCACTCCACCAAACCCATTTTCAACACTGTCAGAAAACACAAGAACGACAGTAAAACCAGTTTACGGAAAAACATTTTAATAAAACCATAAATATATACAGAATTAGACACTTATGCAGGATCATTTTTAAAACAATTAAAATTAAGAAGATGAAGCCTTGTTTCCTGTGTGTATTAAATTGGGAAGGTATTTATGATTTCCTTCACCAAATCTTCAGAAACAAGTATTTTGGGGTGAGTTCCATGATAATAAGAGTTATGAATGATTTATGCTGCCAGTGTGGATCATCAAAAAAATTATAAAAACATTACTGCAGATAAGCATAACTCAGAAGAGTGTTACTGCTTACAGTTTATGAGTGTTCTGGTGAGCTGGTCTGTTGATTTCACAGAGAAACCAGCAGTCTAGTAGGCTGCTTGTGATTAATGACACGAGATACATGAGAAAGTCATAAAATTTTAATTATAACCGAGAAGAAACAGAGACACAGGTGCAAGAAACTGTATGTGAGTTAGTCCTTCTCTACCTATGCCCCCTGCAAGGCCACACATTTTCCCCAACGATGCATTATCTGCTGGATACCTTGATCATAGAAGGTCTCATTTTGACTGTTTAGGAAGTCCACTGCAGACATGACGTCGTCATCGTCTTTGAATCGCTTACCATGAAGTGGCTTCTTTAGCCGTGGAAAGAGGAAGAAGTCACTCAGTGCCAGGTCTGGTGAATATGGTGAATGGAGGAGAATTTCATATCCCAAACTGGCAAACAAGTGTCGTAGCATGAGCCGGTGCATTGTCGTGAAGAAGTCGCACACCTTTGCCAGCATTCCACACCGCTGTTTCTTCATTTCCTCCTGTAATTTTCTCAGAAGGTTCCAGTAGTACTCGTCAGTGATGGTGATGCCCTTTTGCAAGTAGTCGGTCATGACACCTCACCAATCCCAGAACACGCTCAACATCACGTTTCCTGGCAACGGCTGGGATTGGGCCTTCTTTGGTGGTAGCAAGTCTGCATGATTCCACTGCTTGCTCATTTCCTTTGTTTCAGGGTCATAATGATAGACCCAACATTCATCCATCATGATCAGGTAGTCAAAAAATTCCACATTTTAGTCTTGACACAACTGCAAAAGTTTCTTTGTCACATCAATCCCTTGCCGATTTAAACTGGTGTCAACAATTGTGCCCCTCAACAAGCAGTGACCTTAGTCATGAGTAACTCATCATGGATGATGCTGAAAACTGAACCATGGATAATGCGGACAGCATGAACAATAGCTTCGATAGTTATGCGCCTACTGGATAGGATCAAAGCTTCCACTTGTGCCACAATTTCTGGTTCATCAGTGAGAGATGGTCTTCCACTTCAGGGTTCGTCTTCGAGATTTGTCCGTCCATATCGAAAGCGCCTCTTCCACCTGACCACTGTGTCATATGATGGTACACCTTCCTAATACACAGCGGTCATCTGGTCGTGGATCTCCCTGGCAGACTTCCCTTGCAAATGCAGGAACCGTATGACAGCGCAAGCCTCCACTTCCTCAACTGACATCACCATTTTGCTTCTGCCCCCTCCGGTGGCTCCCTCTGTCCACTTGGCGCAGGAAAATTTGACTTTCACCAAGCTCAGGAAATGGGCTATCTCCTACATGGAGATACATGATTTTCTCATGGTGAGAATTAAAACATTATGACTTCCCATCGTACATGCTGGTGACATGGAAGTGTTCTCAGTAGCCTATGTCAGTGGTTCCATTGCCAGATGGGTGCTTCATGATGTCAGCTGTGATGCATGCAAGACATGCCTGACATTTGAAGTGTTGCCAACAGCCAATCATAACGTCAGTCATCATAAGAGACTACTTACAAAATAACACATTTTAACTGTGAGAATAAATGCATTTTAAGTGGATAACTATGCATATATTCATAAAACCACCTAATGAAGATCAACAGATCAAAACATGTCATGGTGATAGAAACAAAAAAGCTAATAGTCATTTTATTAATTTTATTAACTTTGTATCCAATTGCTGTAAAGACAGCTGTTTGTGCCTTAATTCTCTAATGGTGAATCATTATTGGACAGTGAAGTATCTCATTATATTATTACAAGGATGTTATTACAATCTACTCCAACTTAACGATGGAAACCAAAACTGTCATACCAGAGATCTCACTGAACACAAACAAGGTTGTTTACTCAATGTATGATGTAACCTGGAAAATGTTCTGGACACAATACAATAACATGCCATGATAAAATATTTCCCTTTCAGAACACACTTCGAGCAGACTGTTCTTCCTCTGTCGCTCTGTCACTAGAGGGTGCATATACAGATAACCAGTTATTCCTTTCCTTGCCATGAAACACTGAAAACCAAAAGGACAGTGCTAAGAACAGCTGGGCCGGAAGGTGCGGGAGTAGCAGAGTTGCTCGGAGTGAGAATGTTAAAATTTAGCAGCCAAGTACCGCAGTGCTAAGAGAACAGGTGCGAAATATTCCTCTGTACATCAAAGATAAGTAGCAGAAAGCTCTTACACTTCAGGTACTGTGCTGTTGGTACCAACTGAGCCATCTTCCTGTGAACTACCAATCAGCTTATCCAGGACAGCTTTCGCAGCAGCGTGCTTTGCTTCCTTCTTCGACCTTCCCGTTCCCATAGCTGTGAACATTAACATATAACACATTAAGATTATGGTCACCTGGCACATGGTGCCGTGCAGTTTGGGAGATTACCAGCACTTCAGAGGAATGTGTTCTAGGGAACACAAGACAAATAAGGCAGCAAGTTACTCTGAAATATTCTTATCTGTCTACAAAAACTCGTGTTACAAATTACAGAAGACCGTAACTTAATATTCACAATCATGACAAACTCAAACCTCAATAAATTATTTGTATCTTGCATTATTTAAAATTGCATTATCAACTACATTATTGTAAAATTTCAACTGACAATAAAACCATCAATGGCAAATCAGGAAAGATGTGGCTGTCTCTGAAGTTTATTTTCAGGTAGAGCTCAGCATAAGAGAACCATCAAGAGGTCTAGGCCATGTTTTAGACCGTGCCTCTGGGTTACAAGTGAGGATAAGCAGGGTGATAAAGCAGTACAGTGGTTGTAGCTACACTATGGGAAGGAGGATGATGCACTGTAACTGTAACATACCCTCCCTGTGTCTCAATCGGTGTATTATACAAAATACATTGTGCATTCTAATAAGAGCAGTCAGGTCTAAAAACATGTAATGTGGCCACTTAACTCATGGGATGTGACACCGTGTAGCCTGGTAGTTCAAAAACGTTTCAGTGGAGTGTGCTGACATCAACTTCTGGGTTGAAGAGTATGCTTAGCAAGCAGAGCAAGCAGCACACTCCTCCAAAATGTTGGTCAACTTCTACCAGACTGGATGGTGTCGCATTCCAGAAGACAGTATTGTGATATGATGACTGAAAGTCAGAACAGTGGAACAAGAAGTGGTCAATGATAGGCAGTGGAATAGTAAACACATTTCTGTGGCAACAAATACTGATGCAACAACAGAGGACGATGTTTTCTATGTGGCCACTGCTAGGCAACAGCACAGTGAATATGTTTCCACAGTAATGGATTAACACATAATAGAGAAACTGTTGGAAGCGGTGTTATCTGTGTGGTCCTCACCAAGGCTTAATAGCAACGGACAACAGATCCGTAATGAGTGATGCTTGCACTGCCTAAGAATTAGTGTCAGACGCCTACCTCTTAAAATTGCAACAGCTGCAAAATATGGTTCTCCACTCCACTGGAAATTTTTCAAGGTGGACACTAGTCTGTGATTTTCATATAGTTTTCAACCTTCTGTAGGTATCCAACTACATAAAATTATGCAGGCAACAAGCAGAAGTCATACTAAATCATGATAATGAACATGTTCACAGTATAAGTCAAGGTAAAGCCAGACACAGAAAATATAAGAGGCTTAAACTTGGCAGTGGTCAACCTTATGACTGTTCAAGCAACTAAGCTGCCGTTGTTGCATTAGATAAGTAAGATAGGCATGACCTACTTTGCAATGCCTGGACTGACAGAGGATTTGTATATAGTGTAAAAGCAAGAATTTTCAAGAACATGCTACACGTGTGATACGTACACTTGACAAGACCAAACACATTCATATGAAACTCATCCTCTCATCAGAGAGGATATTACATACGGACTATGACCATACAACGGTTCAGTTGAAAAAAAATCTCTGGTTGTGAACCTCAAGGAGCTTGTCGCCAAGACAAACTGACTGGCGGCAAACCATCATAAGGTGACTCTGACTCTGACTGGCAGTCAGTCAAAAGTTGGAAGTTGGAGGCTGGAGTTGGCAGTTAGGAGTCTGAAGTTGCATTGTTAGATGCTGTTACCGAGCAACAACTAGTGAAGACAGAGCAGAATGAGAAGACTTGGTGTAGCTGCACTGATTTACAAAATGTGTAAGACTGTTATAGTTATCTGTAGTTACAAGTTATAAGCATTCAATAAATCCAACTGTCAACCCAAACCCAGTGTCTAGCCGCCAACACCCAACAGCATCCTTCACAGCTACATTTGTGAAAACCTCAGATGCAACAAGCAGCCATTTATGTTCCAACATCCTCATTACAACAAAGTCCAAAAAGAAACAAAATCAAATTCCTAATAAAATGAAAGAACTTAAGAACATGAATGATGTAAAAATAAGCATTGAATTGAATTGAAATTGAATTTATTTACATTCTATAAATCCTAAGCAGGTTAGTACCTTTGGATACAGAACAAGTCAAAAGGTTACATACATAAGTACAGGCAATTTTAGCTTAAAAATTAATATAACTTAATTTTACATCATTCTCTATTTACATTGAAGTATTCATCTAAAGAGTAGAAGGAATGAGCATGTAGATAATTCTTTAACTCTGATTTAAACTTTTTAGTATCATTGCCCAAGTTTTTAATACTTTGTGGCAGATTGTTGAACACTTTTATGCCAGTAAAGTAGACTCCTTTTTGATATACTGATAAAGTTGATGAGGGTAGGTGGAAGTTATATTTTTGTCTAGTATTCATGTTATAGACATCAGAATTTAATTTGAATTTATCTTTGTTGTAAACAACAAATAAGAGAAGCGATAATATGTATTGCGATTGAAGAGGTAGAATTTTTAATTTCTTAAATAATTCTCTACATGAATCTCTACTTCTACATCCTGTAATGATTCTAATTATATTCTTTTGTATTTTAAAAATTATTACACTATGTGAAGAGTTCCCCCAAAATATTAATCCATAGTTCATAATAGAATGAAAGTAGGCATGGTAAACCATCTTCAATGTTTCCTGTGACATAAAAGGCTTAATTGATCTCATCGCATAGCAAGCTGCATTTAATTTAGGTATAATTTGTTCAATATGTATTTTCCAAGACAGTGTACTGTCTACATGTATTCCAAGGAATTTTGTATCAAGTACTACATACAGTCATCCGCAATGTGATGCCATGTAGTTTGGCAGATGTGTACCAACATTCTGCAGAAACATGCTTCCCCTATCTTCACAGTATAAGCATAAACTGTGCAGAGAAGATTGGTACATATACTCAAATGGATGGACTTGGGCCACACATGCACACACCTAAACTGCCGTCTGCATGGATAAAATAAAATAGAATTCATAGGACAATGGCATGGCACAGGTAATGCTACAGGTTATCAAAGGTAGATAAGAGGAGATTAACACATTTTCTACCAATCCCATCATCTGACAGGTTATTTTCTTGGAACACTCTGAGGCAGCCTCTGTTAAAAACGTTCCCTCTAGACAGCAGCAGCATTTAGAGCACACTGTTATTCTACGTTAGTATAAATGTAGCTGTCTTTTTAAAACTGACAAAGTTTGTTCTTAACAATGCTATGTTGAAATTTCAAACAGCTGTACAACAGCAATATATACAAATTGACATGAGGCCACTTTAAATTACAAATATACAATTTCAGTGAAGAAATATTCCACACATATCAAACCTCATTACTAAAGATTATTTTAAACTGCTAACAATACCACACCTAAATAACTGTTATAGACTAGAGGCCTCTTATTTTTGTGAGTTATTTAATGAGGGAATCCAAGATACACAGCACCGAATAGCAGAATTAATGATTAATTGGAAAGGATCTGGAAGGAAGTTGCCATGGCCCGAGTTACTATCCCAGCATATTTCCTGAAGACCCTGAAGAAAAAAATTAAAAACCTCAGTTGGAGTAGTCAGTGACATGGCCTAGATTTAAACCAAATACTTCCTCATTATGAATGTAGACAGTTACCTCTAGACTAAAACTAGGTTCACTGCACGGGCAGGAGATTTGCCTCCTCTCCACAATATCCAGAGTGCCTCTGAGCCCCACCCAGCCTCCTATCCAATGATAATCCAGTCTGCTCAGTAGTTTAATGTTAAGCCTCCACAAAAGACAGACTGATTAAATTATGTAAATATCTATTCAGATATTTTTTGCTGTTATTATATATGTATCATCAGTTGAAATTCTTAAACCAACATAAAGGTTTTCATCTTCCTTGCCTTCAGTAAAACAGTTCTATCTTCCACATAAAACACTGTCACAGTATCCAACCCCACATAGCATAACAATATATTAAAAACTGTAATCTCTAGATACAAGATTATGTATGGCACAGGTCCTTACAAACAAACTTCACAGTCAAGGGATTGACACTCCTGCGTCCTTTGTGGCGTATTTGTTCATAACAAGAACTGTGCATGCAGAGAAACAGCAGCTGCTAGGTAAGGCCCACACACAACAACAGAGGGGGTGTCAAGACATGTAATGCGTACAGCCACTGCTACTGAGTGATTTGGTAAGCATGTACATGGTGATGGCATGCAACAATTGCAGAGATGTTGCAAGTGGCATTCTCTGTGGGTCCGCTCCGAGGCTATATGCCTCGACCGATTCAGTTCAGTTCGGAGAGTGAGTGCAGTGCAGTTGAGGGTTCAGTTGTGGAGTGTTAACCAGTGGGCAACGGCAGCTGAAGAACTCCTTTGCTAAGATCTGTTACCAGGAAATGACCAGTGAAGCCACTGCAGAGGAACAGCCATTGTTGAGAGCTGTTACCAAGTAAAGTCTAGTGAAAGTAGACTGAGAAGACTTAGGCCGCTTTCAGACGGGACACACGGTGGCTTGCAACTAGTGTCTGGGACACAGCCACTCAATGCCACAACACGCACACTTAGTGGCTCTGACGTCAGAACCCAACCTTGATGTTTCCCTCAGTCATTCAGATGGAGGGAATGCCTTACTACAGTTTGTTGCTTGAACCAGAAGAAATCATTATAATTATGCACATACTATGAAAATATAGGACAAGGAACAAGAAGAGAAAATTGTGGGTTCACCCTGTTGTTGAAAGTAGGCTTAGCAAAGGAGCATTCTACACACTCCATGAAGATATCTGCAGTGATGAAAGGAAGTTCTTTAATTACTATAGAATGTCTAGTACAACATTCACGGAACTGTACGGCATCTAAAACGTTGGCATAATTATCACTACTTATACCCTATATAACAGGTCTGGCTTGCACTAACTCGATAAATTTATCAGTATAAAAATGTTTGTCCACCATTTTCATCAATGACGCTGGACACTGTGTGTCTTGTCTGAAAGCTAGCATACAACTCAAAGCACTTCGAGTGGGCAGACCACAAGCCAGTGTCTCGGCCACTGAAGGGGAAAGACACAGCTGCGCCACAGTGTCGCGGACGTGGGACACTGAGACGCTTGCGTGAACGCTAGTATTCATGCTGGACACTGTGTGTCCCAGCCACCGTGTGTCTTGTCTGAAAGTGGCCTTAGTGTGGAGTGATTTGTAGTAACAGAAATCAGCAACAGCGTTACAATTATTTGCAGTTATGACTTGTGTGGTCAATAAATCTATTCACAAATCCAGACCCTGTCTACAGTCACTAATATATGTGACAACATTCCAGAGTTTCTGGGTTCAAATCTTGGCCATGAGCTGGCTCTCCTGACTGACAATTTGCACAGTTTTCCTCAGCCAAGCCAGGCAAATTCCATACTGGATCCTAAAATGTGGCTAGGAATGCTTCCTTCAACATCCTTTCCACTTTCTTTTTCACTGATCATCCTATCAGTTGACACTGTACAGTCCTAGCTACTGAAAGTGCTGTAAAATAAAATGGAGCCGTAAAACCTTGCTTATTAAGGCGAATAATTTTCACTGTCATACATACCAACCACATCAGCAACTGTAACACGATACCGAAATGTTGGCTCATGAATAGCACCCTCAATCTGAACAAGTTCATATTTTGGTGTCGTCCCGCGTCTACTCAACAGTTCCTGAAGTACAGAAACTGGGGTCTTGCCAACCGCAACAGCCATTTTCTGAAAACAAGCAGAACTCCACATACACACAGGCATTATTTTCTTTGAACACTTTTAGAATATGGCAAAAAGCACAGTTTTGGTGTCCTTGGTCTGAAATTAGCAATAATTACAATAATTAATTAGTAAATTCTGTTCTACATTTAAAACTAATACAGTGCAATAGAAATGGCCAACCTTCTAAGTACCATGACATGGAAACTTACTATGTCCTTCTTCTCATAATACAGCTTGTTGCTTTTGTGATACTAATTCCCTTCAGTACAGGCATAGTTGGGTGGAGCAAAATTTTTAAGAAACTTGGTTTAGATAAGGAGAGATTAGATTGGTGTTTGATTTTTATTTTGAAAAAGATAAATGTATATACAAATATGGCCTAGGCAAAGCCCATCCGACCCTCTGTAGCACATTCTTACAAACATCTTACTCTATCACACTGGTCACCCCACATTAAGGTGCTTCGTTTGAGTTGTAATATGGTACAATACCACCTACATCCCTTCTTCGGTACTTCGGCAGCTCTGCTGATATGTTGGTACTCCACGCAATTTCAGAGAAACATCTTACATGCACTTCTAGCCGTTATTGCAAAGTTTTGCTCTACAAACAATTAACTTGAGAATTTTGTTATTGCATATTAAAACCCTAACTACAACACTCACACAACACAATAAAGCATTAAACTCTAATTGTTTATGTATTTCAAATTACAAATATCATAAGCTTGATTATCATCATAGTGTGAAGGTTAGCTGCCACACAACTTTCTTTACAAGTTCCTACCAATCTTGAAGTATGTACAATTGATTTAATTTCATTTCATTTATTCAGCATTCCATAAATCCTTACATGGTTAAACACCAATGGATATAGAACTAGTCAACATGAGTAAACATCGCATACTGCATCACAATTGTGTAATGCCATACCAGTTAAAAATATTAACAATACACAACATGAACAAAAACAATCACCTATAACAATAAAGCGCTATCAACTACCACGCGTAACAAATCCGAAACTTTAATTGTTGTCACAGTTAAAATATTCGTCCAATGAATAAAATGAATTTAAAAACAGGAATTTCTTAACATCAGACCTAAATTTTTTAATCTCATGAGCTTGGTCTTTTATATTAGGTAGAAGTTTATAATAAATTTTAATTCCAAAATAATATGTTCCCTTTTGAAAGACAGTTAAGTTACATGAGGGATAATGGAGGTTATTACTATATCTTGTGTTGATTGTATGATTCTCAGAATTACATAAAAATAAATCCTTGTTTCTGACCACAAATAACAAAATGGAAAAAATGGACTGTAAGTAAAGGGGCAGAACCTTTAATTTCTTAAACAACTCCCTACAAGAATCTCTACTTCTAGAATTGGTGATGATTCTTATTACCATCTTCTATAGTCTAAAGATACATATGCAGAGGGGTGAATTACCCCAGAAAATCAGGCCATGTGTCATAACTGACTGTCAAACTTGAATAGGTCCCACTTCTGTCACACTCATAGATCATTTCTTCTTAGATAAGAATGTCTTCAATAAATTTCAAACCCATTCCGCAATAAATAGGTTTTCAGACCACGACTGACAAATCTTAGTACTTGAAAATTTACAGGTTATAAAGAAAAGGGACCGTGTAAAAGCATTTAGGGATATCAATGATGAGAATGTAGCACATTTCCAATGGGCATTACAAAATGAAAATTGGGAAGCAGTTTATGATCAAGAGAACGTTAATATGAAACTTAATAAATTCATAATACCTTCTTAACAATGTAAGAAAACAGCTTTCCCCTGGTGTACAAAAAAAAAAGAAAGACACCAATAAATGGATAACCAAAGGTACACGAACATCTTGTAATCATACTATAATAAGTACTGTATGACATTAACGAAAGAGATAAAAGAAGCTAAGAAACTGTACTACCAAAAACTCGTAAGTAACTCGGAAAACAAAATACACTTTACCTGGAAGATTATTAATAAAGAAACTGGGAAAAGGAGGGGCCCAGATAATATAACCGAATTGAAAGTGGGGAATAGCAAAGTAACTAATACTAAGGAAGCAGTAGAAGTATTCAATAAATACTTTATAACTGTAGCTGAGAATCTGGAAACAAAAAGTTCCAATAAAAATGAGGCTATTAAATTCTTAGACACTTTCAAATTTGATAAATTCCCTGAACTGAGGCTAATACCCACAACGGAGGTGGAAATAAAGAGCATACTTATGTTGCAAAAATCAAAAGATTCTACAGGATATGATGGCATTTCTAGTAAGATATTGAAATATTGTATAACTGAGATAAGTAAACCATTGTGTCACATATTTAATGCATCTTTTGAGCAAGGAATATATCCTGATAGAATGAGATTTGCCTCATTAAGACCTTTATACAAAACAGGTGAGAAGGCAATTATGGCAAACTATAGACCAATAATTGCTAATAAGTTTTTCTAAGATTTTTGAAAGAGTGGTGTACAATAGGATAAAGCAACACATACATACAAACAATTTTGCACAGTTTGGATTTAGAGAAAACAGTACCACAGAAATGGCAATATATACATTAACTAATCATATTTTAGAAACGTTGGAAAGACACAATCATTCATTGGGAATTTTTTGTGATTTGACAAAAGCATTTGACTGTGTGAGTCATGATATTCTTTTGAGTAAATTAGCAACATATGGCATTGGTGGTAAAATGAAAATATGGTTGAAGTCCTATCTGGAAAATAGAAGACAAAGAGTTGAACTCTATAATAATGAAAATGGAAAATGCTGTTCAGACTGGGGAACCGTCAAATATGGAGTGCCAAAGGGCTTGATTTTGGGTCCTTTGTTCTTCCTTTTATATATTAATGACCTGCCATCAACATTAAGTACTGACAACAAGTCATTACTGTATGTTGATGATACAAGTATATTAGTGTCGGGTATTAATATCGACGAAATTCAAGAAAGATCTAAACTTATGTTAAATTCCTTAAGTCAGTGGTTTAAATACAATGGCTTAACCCTAAACTTGAGGAAAACTAAAGTGTTAACATTTGAAACAAACAATTGTGACAATATGCCTGTACATTTAAAGTTTAACAATGAATTCTTACAAGAGGAAACTCATATTAAATTTTTGGGCATTGAAATTGATAAGCGCTTGAATTGGAAGACACAAGTTGAATCACTGTTACCCAGATTGGGAAAGGCATGTTATGCAATATGAATTATGAAAACATATAGTAATGTTACAAAACTTAAAATGATATATCATGCATACTTTCATTCACTCATGAGATATGGAATAGTTTTTTGGGGTCAGAGGCCAAGAAGATCTTTCTCTTACAAAAGAAGACTATTAGAATAAAAATGGGGATGAAACAT